GGGGGGGGGGGGGGGGGTACACGAGACCAACTCTAGGCTAGTATGAATGCTGTGTAGAGTGAAATATGACGATAATGACAGGTCGAATCGCGGGACGATTATGCCTCGTGTTCAACAGCAAAGTTGCGCCGCGTCTGTCTCCCCTTGGGTGCAAAGCGCCACTACATGTAGGGGTAAGCGCGGATGAAGTACCTAGCCCACCGATGAGAGGAGGCGCCGAACCTAGGGCCTGGCTCAGAAGGTCTCGCTTTCTCTTCAGAGGAATATCTTGAGGGCCTCCATTTCGTGCCCCGTTAACCATTTTCCCCGCGAGTCGTGTCTTAACGTCCTATCAAACGTCCATTCGAGGGGACATTTGATAGGGTTTTTAGAGAGGAGACGGCATAGTTGGGAAGGAAGCTATGCACTTGCACCCAGGGATGAAACTGCTGCATCATCCAATCAGCAGGCGCCGTTCGCTCTTTCCCTTACATTTCGTAACAACACCGAATTTCTGTGCGTCGTGAGGTAAGTAAGGGGGTTTTTAACTCCGGAAATTACCGGCGGCACATGCCCACCCGTACCTGCGCCGAGCGCCGCCGATTCGCCTCTTCCGTGTGTCAGGACATCCGCCCACCCTTCACGTCTGTCCTTAATCCTTTCGCAGGGCAGTCCTGAGTAAGGACGTCATCACGCGTGTCACCAAGCGAAGACATGACAGCAGTAGAATAGTTGGGTAGCGAAACGGGCGCGCGGGTGGCCTAATCTCATGCTTTGCATGCCTTAGCGGTTAGGCAATTGACTACGTGTCCTCGGGAGGACGAAGCATTGTTCCCACAACACCGATCATCGCTGGCCGATCAGTCACTCCTTCCTACCTTGCCATGGCTAACATACGTCTTCCCTAGCCGATCTTTCCTATCGATATCACTTCACGCCTTGTTAACCCACTTTCTACCCCTTAGTGGAGCGGGGGGGTACATCTTTAGACTTCGAAAAGAAAGCATAATTACCGCATATACCGTACGGCTACGAAGTCACCACACCCCGGTGCGGTCGTTACTTAATTGTTTTCGCTATTTTGTTTGCATCGTACCCCTGTGAGATGAGTCCGGACCTTGTGCGGAAATCCGATTAAAGTGTTTGGTGTTGATATATAGCGCACACCCCTGAGCGATAACTCCGGTATGTGCAGCCCTGAGTAAACCCTGAAGGCGATAATATCAACAGATACGGTGGAAACAATGGTTCTGTTGGGGGCGGGGGGGCCACAATTCGAAGAGAGTTGAGGAGATGTCACGGTAGGTATGAAGGACGTAAATTATCGTTTGCGAAGAGAAAGAAAATATGCCGATACAGATATTGTGGATGATGAAGGTATGCATGTGCGGAGTGTATCGACAGGTTGCGCAGGTGGCAAGGTCGGTACAGTCCGAAGATGGCACAGAGAATCTGTTGAGACAGACGTGGCGCAAATTCCAACTTGGCCGGGTACGAGCATGCTGTGCACGTAATGGTAGGAATGGAGTATGAAGAACGCGAAATAAGTAGTTGGTATGATCATTCATGTGCAGAAGACGCACGTGAAGCGCAAGTGAGTTCTCTGTCGCACCGTCCGGGACCACTCCCATTGCACACGCACGCATATTGGTACATGCGCAACTTGCAGCTCGAAAACGGAGATCAGATCCATAAGTGAAGTGGTGAACCCGCGATAGTATGAAACGACGTCCAATGTTGCATGGCACAAAATTCAATGGAACATCCCGGCCAAACAAACACGGCAGCCGTTGAAGCGACATAATCTGTAGTAAAAACTAGCATGCCGATACGCCAGAAGAAGATTTGGAAATATGTTGTGAAGTAAAGACCAATGAACCGTTTATGAGGATAACGCAAGAATGAAGACGATGAGCCCCAGAAAAGTACGTGAATATACGAGATATAATCCTGAATGGTCATGAAAGCATGGGATAGTCAGCCAGCACGAACCGAGCATTCCCAAAGCGCGAAGGTTCCAACCTATACTCAGGAAGACATACCGAAAGCTTCATCGCAGACAGTGTCCGAAGACGAATGCCAAAAATTCGCGTGTCTGTTGCCAAAGAGGAGATAGAAAATAGAATAGGTGAACATGGAACACTCGGTGAGCACGAACCGAGCATTCCGAGAGCACGAAGGGCCCACCTTATACTCAGGAAGGCATACCGAAAGCTTTCTCGCAAAGAAAGTGTTCGACGACGAAGGCGACGCGCATGAGAAGTGACCTGACTGTTGCCGGCGAGACCATAGAAAATAGAAAAGACGAACATAGAAAAGATGAACAT